ACAATTTTTGAAGTTACAATCACTTTCACTTTTATTGTATTGGCATTTACAGTTTAAGAGTTATGCATAAAAACCAAATTAGTGTCCGAGATAGACATAACATTCAAGAATGTAATGAGACTATTGGACTACGATTTAGAAGCCAAAACTATACAAACATCGTCTAATACGTGTAAATCTACTATAACCTCTTTTTATATATGTACTTGTTTCTTTAACAACGTTTTATGATTGATGTCACTATCAGTAACAGTAATCACGATATAATATATAATACGCTCTAGGACCCTTTCTTGAGATGGCTTTGTGGGAAAGAAATTAATTCGAGATTTCACTCGACTTAATGTTTTGAAGGCCGGATTCAGTTTGCCAATCACTTGATTAACTCGATTAAAAAGGACGGTCCAAAAAACATCCTAAGGTGATAAGCGGATTCGAACTCGGGACTCTCATGTTTGTAGCCCCTGCACTCAGACCGCGAGACAAGTGGGCCAGTTCCAATTTTTGATATTGCTAGTAAGTGGGGTAAATATATAGAAAAGGTCACCCCCCTCCGATTTCAATGAGCTTGACATATGTTGTCAAGGACACCTTCCTGAGTAACAATCCGTAAATTTTAGCCGTCGCTCGTTGTTAATAAAAAAGTTATGAACAATTGAAGTTTGAAAATTAAGTTTGCCAATTTTTGCTAGTAACTGAAAATTTGGAAACATTTACAATTTGTAATTATGTATGTATGTTAGTATATGTTAGCGTCAAAGCCCGAGAATGTGTCAATCAGACTCAATAGCATAGAGTAGTATTAAACAAGACTAATTCTTTCATGATCTTTTTGTCGGTGTTGTAAACGTGTAGGCAGGGGGGCTGCGCGCCCCTGCATTTCTCCTAAAATCTAACCTAACCCTAACCTAATCTAAACTTTTCTTTCTGCACTCCCCCTCGCAAAATTTTCACTCATTTCTATTGATATTGTAGTAACACAGGTTAGGTTAGGGTTAGGTTAGATTTTAGGGGGGTGCAGGGGGCGCAGCACCCCTGCCTACACGTTTACAACACCGACAAAAAGATCATGAAAGAATTAGGATGTGATCCCATGCACTGTTATTTTTTGCGTAACGCGTAACGCGTAATCAGAGATTACGTGTTTAATATAAAACATTTGCTTCGGATATTGACTAGTCAATTTTAAAATTGACGGGACTACGGGGTGTGACGCTACATATACATTTATATATACATATTATATAAACATGTATATTTATGTATGTGTAAATATATATATATTTATATGTAGGTACATCATAATATAGCCTTAGTTTTCAAACTTCAATTGTTCATAACTTTTTTATTAACAACGAGCGACGGCTAAAATTTACAGATTGTTACTCAGGAAGGTGTCCTTGACAACATATGTCAAGCTCATAGAAATCGGAGGGGGGTGACCTTTTCTATATATTTACCAGAAAAAGCAGCAAGAGTGCCTATTCCTATCAGGAATTTTGTGTAAACAATTCCGAGCCTGAATTATAATTACATATGCACACAGATATGAAACAAAAATNACTTTTTTCACAAATTGTAGATGTAGATTAACGGCAGAATTAAAAAGTTGGATATATATATAGCATAAACTCAAATCAAAATTGAGGTTTTAATATAGCTCCTACATTCTATCAAAATGGAAGTGATGACTCACGAAAGTGTCGTAAAAAAACACAATGAAATATGTGTTATCAATGTTTCTCTCTATGATTTTATTGAAAACATTTTAAGTAAAAACCGAAGTACTATAATATTTATCGTAAGATATCATATCAAACAAGTTTTGTACCTGAGGTTTATTATACACAAATGCATTAAACGTCGAGGAAAAACAAGCTCCTACAAATATTCCAGTGTTTGTTCCATGTAACTCTTCAGGATTAAGTCCAGCATCAATAATTGCTTCATAAGTGTGTTCCAGTAACATTCTAGCCATAGGATCTAATACATGAGCTTCAATCATAGAAATGTCGAAATATTGTGCGTCAAACTTCTCTATGTTATTGATCTTGCCGAGTCTAGAGGGCATGTCAAACTCAGCTGCCAAAATTCAAATAGTTTCCATCAATATAGTTACTTTGCGCAAAATTTCGGATCAAATATCTTATAAATCGCTTTTCATATACTGTAAACATTCGAAGTGCATTTTTAGCTCAGAAATTTGTGTACTTGTGTAACTGCAATTAATCGAGTAGCTCTATTTGTCGTTTTGTTTTCGGTTTTCAATTTCTAATGCCAAATGCAGCTACATATCGCATTTTACATTTAGGACTGTTTTAAGTTTTCAGAAAAGTTTATATTTAAGATTGTTTTATTTGCTTACAATAAACGTACGAGGTTTTCAATACTTTATGTTAGCGAGAGTAAACGCCGCCATCGATCAGCTACTCGATAGGAACGTGAAATGTGTAAAGTTTACGTTTTATGCTAATGAATAGAAATGTGAAGGAATTATGCAGTAATTAGCCAATCACTCAGTTCTTCTCTTTCTCATACACACACCCACACTCAACAAAAACTATTTTACCAGTGTTCCATCTTTGATGATCGTTCGAAGCAAGATCGATTTCATTGAAAAGATTATCCTGAAGTTGTTTCATATTATCAGAATTAGGAAAACGTCCAGCAATACCAGAGATAACAATTTCGTTGTTTGTATTACACGAAGTAGATTGTTTGTTGCAGTCCATATTTGCTTCTTTTGTTGTTAACGTTAATGTATCAAATATAGGTCCTTAAATAAACATTTCAAGTAGACTATTAATCCTCAGTTTTAGTTTTTAAAAATAACTTTACTAAATAATGTATAGAAACGCTTGTATCAAATCGTTCAAACAAATATTTCTAATTTAGAAGTTTTAGAGTCTAAAGATTTTTTATAAATATTACTATGTATAAAAAATATTGACAATTAAAACTGTTGTAATGGTGAGACGCGTCAAATAGCAGTTACTTTTCTCTACGTAGAATTATTAATACGGCAATAATTAATACTGATAGAGTATGCCCGCTAGCTATGATGAACATAAGAAACACACGGAATCGGTTCAATATACCAAACTACAGAAAAAAACATAAACATGTAAAGAGCCTTCTACAATGAGATATTAGTAATAAATCAGAAGTCAGAAGCAAGAAAGTGACCAATCACAGTGTAGTAATCGATACATCGATATCATTACTACTATCGAACGTCATCTTAGCAACCGATATACACAATCATTCAATTATTCTCTTTCAACGATTCTCTTGTTCAATTATGTATCTTCTTTTCATTCCAAGTCCATTCCTGTTTCCATTCACACGTTCAATAAACCGACTCAAGTTTTTGTAAAAGAACGAAGTTTAATTTATTTCGTGAGTGAATAAACATAACCGTTTTTGGCGACGAGGATTATGGAAGGTCTTCGTGAGATATTAACGCCGTTGATGCAGCAGCAACTGCAGCAGTTTCAGCAGTTGATGCAGCAGCAGTTTTATGCCCAGCAGCAGGAATTTGCAAGCCACATCGCCAAGATTCTCAAGGCTCCTTCATCTGCACCTACAGGCCTGGAAACTAAAATGGATGCGTTAGCCAATTCAATCACAGAATTCATTTACGATCCGGAGAATGGTTTGACTTTTGATGCATGGTATATACGTTACCGAGGATTATTTTCCGTTGATACCCAAGCATTGGACGACGCAGCAAAGGTCAGACTACTCTTACGTAAATTAAGCATGACAGTTCACACGAAGTATGTTAACTA